CTGTGGGGATTCGGTAGACTGACATCAGGAAAACGAGCAAAATGGACAACATAGAGTTAATGAGCATGATTCGACCTCCAAAAGAGAGATGTCGACCTTTCCAACTGCTTAACTTCCTTTTAAAGGATTGTATCAGTGGTTACCACATTACTATCCTTCTATGATTCCTACCAATCGGGATTCCTAGGTACTTGAATGGGAACTCTCCCTTTTTGCAACATAATATGCAAGCCATCCTATCTTTCCAGTCATCTTCCACATCAACACCCATCAACTAACTCTTTCCAAAACTAATTTTCAATCCTAATGCCAATTCAAAGGTCCTCATGATGCATTTAACTACCTATATGTTGTCTTTTGTTGCCTCCCCAAAAAAGATAGTATCGTCCGCAAATTATAGGTGGGACATTGCTATTGCTCCGTTACCAATCATCACTCCCTTGTCTAATTCCTTCACAACCGTAGAAGACATTCGGCCATTCAGTCCCTCCACCACAATTAGGAACAAGAAAGGGGAAAGTGGGTCACCTTGTCTTATTCCTTTGCAAATGGGGAATTGTCTTATTAGGCTTCCATTGATAAGGACTGAAATCGTACCTGATCATAAGCACCTTTGAATCCATTTCCTCCAGATGATATTGAATCCCAATCTTAACAACATGTAATCTATGAATTGCCAAAACACCTTATCTCATATGTTTTTTTGAAATCAACTTTGAATAGAAAGCTCTTCATCTTTTTCCTTTTTGCCTCATTTATCACCTTATTTGCTATCACCCCTCTTTCCACCAACCTTCTCCCTCCAATGAAAGCCATCTGTTGTTCCCTGATAAGCTTGTCTAGCACTTTTCGGAGACGATTTGCTAGCAACTTTGCTACAATCTTGTACATGACTCTGATAAGCGAGATGGGTTTGAACTCTTCAATTCTTTCAAGATTCCCAACTTTTGGGATCAAGACAATGAATGAGGTGTTTGATCCTATAACCAGTCTACCTTGCTCATGGAATTCCTAGATAAACCTGACAACATCAGTTTTTATGTCCTCCCACACGGTTTTTATGAATTTGAAGTTGAAGCCATTTGGTCCTGGTGATTTTGTAGAGTCACAATCCCAAACTGCATTTTTAATTCCTTTTCATTGAATGGTACCATGAGAAAGTCATTGTCTACTTGGGAGATTTGTTTGGAGTTAATGCCATCAAGCTTTGGTTTTTGCCATTTTTCTTCTACAAACAACCCTTGAAAGTATTGAGCAATCTGTTCTCTCATTTCAACCATTCCTACATACTGTTTGCCACTGATCTAGACACTATTAATTTCATTTCTTCTCCATCTATTTTTCGCACATTTATGGAAAAAATTTGTGTTGGCATTTCCTTCTTTTAGCCACATCTTTCTTGATTTTTGTTGCCACATACTTTCCTTAGTTTTTAGATTCTTCCAAAGTTCAAGAAAGCATCTTCTTCTTTTTTCAATTTCCTTTGTAGAAAGTTGGGTATGCTCTCCTTTCTTGTCCAATGTAACTATCTCCAATTCAGCTTCCTTAATTTTGCTGTCCACTTTTGTCATGGAGTTATCACTCCACTCTTTTAAGGCTATCTTAGTTTTCTTCAGTTTCTCTTTAAGCCTAAATCCCTTCCAGCCCTTGATCTCAGTAATATTCCATACATTTCTGATCATCTCCATACACCCAGGTTGCTCCAGCCAAGCATCAAAGAACTTGAATGGTTTTGGCCCTAGTCAATCTTCTCTTCCTTTAGTAAGATAGGACAGTGGTTCGACACTGATCTCTTCAACCCCCATTGCTTTATCTCGCTCCACTTCATAAGCCATTCTTCTGATAACAAAAATCTATCAATCTTACTCATGTATTGATGTACCAAGCATATTTCCTACCTACCAATGGCAAATCCACTAACCCCGCATCATGAATGAAGCTGTCAAATTCCACCATTTCCTTGGATTCCCCATTGCTCCCTACCTTCTCCTTTACACTTCTTACAACATTAAAGTCTCCCCCTAAACACCATTTCCCTCTCTTGCTATTAATCAGATTCAGTAGTTCCTCTCATAAGGCTCTTTTGCCAGCCAAATGACATGATGAGTAAATATTTATTATATAGACAGGTATTTGTTCCTCTCCCCATATGCCAAACACTCCAATATAGTTATCTCCCTCTAAAACCTCTTTCTTTTTAAATAGTTTTGGACTTGACATGCAAAGCAAACCTCCAGACATGCCATTTGAAGGTTTAAAAATCCATTCAAAATCCTCCGAGCCCCATATCCTTCTACATATACTCATGTCGATTACTTCTTTCTTAGTTTCCTAAATAGCTAAAAATTCCACATGTTCCCTCTTAATAAGCTCCCTAATTTGTCTTTTTTTACCAACCCCTCCAAGCCTCCTAATATTAAAGGATAACATTATCATCAGGAGCATTTCTTACCTTCTTTGCGTCACCCACTTCCTGGTTCACCATGATTGCCTTTATTTGTTTGTCTCTACTCTCCATTTTTCTATTCATTGCATTATCTCTTTTTCCTTCACAGCCGTAGCCCCTAGTTGCTTTGATAACTCCTAGATCTCCTTTGCAAGTTGGTTTCTCATTTGCTTCCTCAAAAATCTATAGCAATTCTGAATCTCATTATCCCTAATAGAGTCATCTGTAATTTCATTGTTTGGGCTTGCTACAAATTTTGGCATTGTTCTTCCCTCCGTTGGTAGCTTGCTATTTCTTCCTCTTCCTCCCAATCTTTGCCTTCCTTTACCAACAGTTGCCAATTTTAGATACACTGTACTGCATAGTCTGATTTCTTCTTTTTCTTTTTTGATGTCATCTTCGTTTGATCTTTCATCCATTTCTGCATCCGTGCTTCATCACTCTTGAGATCTTTCCAGAGTATATCTGTGTCATCACCTTCACTAATCACAGTACACGTCACTCTATTTCTAGAATGGTCCTTACTTTTATCAAAGCTTGGATTTTTTTCCAATCTTGTTTTATTAAGTAGGCCCATATTAGTTGATTCCTCAAACTCTAGGCTTTCTCCTATTATAATGGGGTCCCCATGTTGCTTCATATTTACCTGCTCATTCAGGCCCAATTGTTTCCCATTGTCTTCATCGACACCCACTGACACTTTCAGTTTCCCACACTTCTGCACCACCCTCTCTACCTCTACTCTATTTTCACCATCATTCAAAATTTGAAATTGGTCTTGGCTATCAGCCACCGCTTGTACTGATTTTTCCTTCACCTATGAGGCTTGATTTTGAATTTTACTATTGATCTCCCTAATGCAACTCGCCACGTCATCATCTTCAACTTTTGTATCAACAACTTCTTCATTCTCATGTTCTTTCTCTATTGTAGCTTCATAAACATGTTCCCCCTGTTTTCTATCAATCGACCATGACTCATGTTCATTAGAGTCACTCTGGAAAATGGGCATGAAATCTTGTTTCAAGGAGAAAAAATTGTTTTTGAACTCTTCCTTGGTGAACTATACGTTGTACAAGAACCCATTAATTTTAACTTGTCTCATAACTGATATATAATTCATGATCGGAGTCGAGATCAAGAATCTAGCAATGTCAAACCTTCTTTTTTTGCTTGTGCTATTGTCCAAGCAAATAAAATTTCCCCATGAACAACCCATAGTTTCAAAGAAATCTGATCCCCATACATTGAGTGGAGCTCCCTAGCATCTAATCCATGCAAATCGCTTAGTAGCAACCATGTCTAGAGTCCACGATTGTACTCCTTCGAACCATTGTCCTAACCAATCTGAGGCCATTTCCACCAAGTCCTTCAATTCCTCTTTGTCCTCAATGTCTAGTAGCACTATTTTACCTCACATAGATCGGATTCAACAAGAAAAATATCATTCCATATAAAATTTATCATACTAATTGCGTACCTTTTTGACAGAGCGTGCTATTCCCACATAACATCTTTCAAGCCATGTGTAATCTTCTAGGTTGGTATTGTATTCTATTCCGGACCATTTTTCTCCCATTCCTTTTTCTTGCCAAATTTTCCTATTGTCGTTGGTGCAATCTAGGTAGGCATTTTTGCTTCCACTCTTTCCCAGTCTACTATGGTTCTTCTACAACTGTGTTCTTGTCTCTTCTTCATTCTTTTTATCTTGTAGACCCCTTACCACTTCTGCATAGCTTCTGTTTTGTGTTCTTGGTTGTGATCTTTGACTGTATCTATGCTCCCTTCCCTGCTTCTATGAATCAACATATCGTGGGTAGTTCACCCACATCTTTTAGTCTCCTACCTAGACTTGGTCCAGTTGCCTTTCTAACTCCTTCTTGTCTTTCACATCTAAGAACCTTACAAATTCGAACCTACCTCCGTTTCTACTTGTTCTATTTGGGCTGTATATGTCATACACCCTTCCAAATTTCAAGAAAGTTCTCCACATGTCTGCATAGCACCATTCATCTAGGAAATTTGTGAAAAAGTAAGGTAGAGCTTGTTTATACAAGCCCCTATCATATGCTCCACCTTTCCTCTGCTTCTGGTTTTGATCTTAGTCATTCTTCGCTTTCCTCTGTTCCTTTGGTTCAATCCATCTCTGTTGAAATCTTCTGTTGGATATTGCATGCTCAGTACTCTGTAATGTCTTTTTTTCCTAGACTCGACGATCACCACCTCTCACTCTACCTCTCTCTCTCATCTCTCTCCTTTTGTTTTGCTCATTTTCTCTTCTATCCCTCATTTTGAGCTTTTTATTGTCAGGCAAGTTTGAAGGCCTCTTGAATTCAAAGAAATGTTTTGTTTGCAAATTAATAAACAAGGGTACCAGCATCTGCAATTTGTGCTAGTTGTGAAGTGGGTAGTCTTACATTGAAAATAATAAAGAATTATATGAGTTAAATATATGAAGATTACTTATAATCAGTTAATTTTAATTTTGATGTAAAACTTGTGTTAAAATTTGGATGTTAATTAAATTTTCACATGGCATTAGAACTTTGACTTTGTTCCTAAGAAGTTTGAGATCCTTTGATGGTTCAGGTCTGCATAAGGGAAAGTCGTGTCAAACCCAGGTTTTTAGCCCAAGATCTATGTGGTAGATCAAATATGCACATGAAGAGGGTTTTAAGTTTGTAATGTGAGATTCACGGGAGATGACTTAAAATTCATATGAAATCTACATGTGAAAAAAAAAATGTATTAAGTGAGAAAATCTCATATTAAAAAGATGTAAAAATGCATGTGGGTTAAATATATATAATGGTGGCTCATCACCTATAGTTAATTGGTTTTATATTGGATTTAAACTTTATGTTAAAAC